TAGACTTAACCCCAAGTTAAGATAAGAGTGTGTTATATCTCTTAAACACCAACTTGGTTTATCCCCAAAATAAAACAACAAAAGAATTTCCTGCCTTTTTTTTTCAGCCCATCCATTCCCTCCTCTAAATACAATTCATTTTCACTCTTCCTTATACAAAATATAACCTAAAACCTATCCTCCCTTTGCTGCCATCTTCTATCAGGACATCCCTCTTCTAAATACTTTCACCCCTTTACTTAAATCTTCTTCCAAAACCAACCCTAGATAACTACTGTCTCCCTGAATCCATTCTATCCTGATTCCCCCTCCTTCCACCTTGAGTTGAAGCCTAACAGACAGCATCTCTAATCCTTGATGAAAAAACATACCTGATTGGAGTGCATGAAAGAATTGATATCATAAGGAAGTAGAGGTTAGCCACCCGCCTGAACTGTCAGCATAAACAAAACACAGAAAAAAAGGTAAAAGATAAAAGTGAACAAAAAGATGGGTACGAGAACATAAGTGGGAGATTTCAATTCAATCGTGGTTTCTCTAATGCATAAAAGTTGTAACAAGCACTACCCAACCACTGAATATCTTTCTTGAATGTTATTAGGGTTCTAGGTTATTTTATATAAGTATTTATTCAAAATACTGTGTTATACGGAGTACTTGTCTATTTACTAATTGCATTTTGTTCATATACAAGTAGTCATTTAGCAACTTAGTGACGTAAAACATAAGTATTAAAATAACTAAGCCGCCCTCCCACTTCATTTCACTTTTGCTTGTTGGTTGTTACTTTTAATTCCTATAAATCAATAAAGGTACGTTTTTCAATTTATGAAAATTTATATCACCATTAGACTACAACTTTTCCTTAATGGACACTTATTTGATAATGAATGGAGTAACTAGTAAGTAATACACATTTTTTTTATAAATCTTACGTATTGCATAGGAGTACATGTCAACGAAAGGAAATTCCATAAGCATCACAAGCTAACGATTGACCCAAAAAAGTACCTGTTCAAATAAACCTTTTGGTAAGAATGTGAGCACATCGTACTTTGTAGTTGACACAGAGTTCACCTGGAATATTAGAGAAACATCATTCCCTACTAATCAGAAAGGCTTTTCCTCAAACAAAAAACACCAAATATGCTATTGGTCCAAGAGAGTGTATTGGAACTAATACAGTAATTGTACGTGCAGCCTAACAGCTTCTCATGCATAACATGTTCCTTTTTTCTAAAAATTCTCAACCAGCGAAACTCTATGATTGAGTGGGCAAGTGCAACTACCGAAGATAAATATAATTAATAAATGTGTTTCCTTGCTATTTGCTAACAAGTTACAGAGCAGACGTATTGGCACTAAGGTAAGCAAAATGTCCTAGGTTCCAATCCCAAGTATTGCTCGTATTTAAAAAAAACCACATATTTTCTGAAATTCCCCATAAAAATACAGAATATTTGTCAAAAAATGGGGAGGGTATAACATAAGGGTGATAACTTAACGTGATATTCTGTATTGTAATAATAAATTATAATTGAGTATCCTCACGAATTCTTTGAGGTTTTACTTAAAGAGGGATACAACGTAAGTAGTCAGTAAAGACAGACTTTAATCAACACTCTTCGTGGTCCATTGTCAATTGTAGAGGTTTCCAATGGGGGCATATCTAAAGATTTCAATTTGAGAGTGATCAAAAAGAAGTTCACAATCCATAATTGTCTGGTATTATTGTACCAACCAATGACATCTCCAAAAGATGGCAATGTCCTTAATCTCAATCCACCTCTCATTATCAACAAAAAAGAGGCAGTTTCTAATCTTCTGGAATCTGTGGCAACAACATAGCCCAATATAATCTCCACATTGTTGGGGTCTAGGAGTCAAGATGTTAGATGCATGCAGTCTTACCCTTGTAAAAAACAGATATACTATTTCTCTCATACCATTGATGTATTGCTGGATTTAGTCATTTGCTGCCCAAAATTTCATAAATAGTAAAAAAGCAAATTAAGCTTTATGTGCCATTTAGAATTAGTCTGATATTTACCCGAAGCAAAATCATTGTCAAAAATGACTCTTAGCTCGATTGGGAGTAAACTGAATAAAATGCTAATAGGAATTACTCCGTAGTTATGTTCATAATTTGGCCATCCAAAAATGAAACACCATCTTAAACATCCAACAAAATCCCTCGTCTTATCTAGTGCAAGTGCTTCTTTTTCCTTCATCCCCATGCGTTTCTAATACAAAATTTAAACCTTGATAAACCCATACAATACCAAAGCTAATACTTGAACACCAGTCTGCTTGAACCCGTAGCTGATCCCTAACTAGCATCCTCCATAATCACAACCTCAACCTCTGAGCGTAATATACAAATAATACGGGCTGATTAATTGAATAAGAAGACTACTGACGAACTAAACGCTGACCTTGTACTTGGCGAGAGCATTGGCTTCACGATCATTGCAAAACACCGTACGGTGGCCGGGAGCTTGAGGCTGAACCTTGCCGAGCCGCACGGTCCGCGAAGAAGGAATGTGCTCTACGTTAGGTGATCCATGGCTACCCGATCCAGATCCCTTCCATCCGACCATATCTTCGGCAAATCGTCCAATCCTCGCCGGACGGGAGAGAATCTACGGCCCCGACGTCCCGTTTATTGCGATTTCAGGACGGAATAGTGGAATTGTTTCTGGGTTTAAGTTGATGGGCGAGCGGAAGTTGAAAATTGGAAGAAAATATGGCGCATTGACGACTTGATTCCTTCCTAAATATGGCTGATCGGATTTTTCTCAACTAAATATGGCCGCGTTATTCAACTTCCTCCTTTGAAATAGGTACATGGTATATCCGGATATATCTAGAAATAGGTACATCCCGGTAGTATTCATTTTGAAATAAATAGTACTCATTCTCGTACAAATATAAACATTAATTTCGAAACACGTAGTACTCATTCTTACAAAGGTAGTACTCATTTTAAAATAAAGAAGTATTCATTTTTACACATTTGTCTAATATAATTATAATAAATAGCTTAATGTTCATTCTTAAAAAACAATACTCATTCTCAAATAAAGAAATTCTCATTCTGAAATAAAGCCGCCGGCCTTTGTCGTTGCCTCTCCTTCGCCGGCTTCTTCCTCTTCGCAATCGATCCTGCATCTGCTCTTGAACTTCTTCAGTCCTCAGTCCCACGTAGGGTTTCCATAGAGCCGCCGGCCTTTGTCACCGCCTCTCCTTCGCCGGCTTCTTCGATCGTGACGCTTCTCTACTCTCTTCGCAAACTTCATCGATCCTGCATCTGCGGCTTATTTCTGCCGGCTGTACGGTTCTTTCCGTACAACCGGCTGTACGATATAATTTGCGCCCTCCTTTGGCTTATTTTGGCATTGTTTCTTGGGGACGATTCCTACATTCCGTAAGCGCGTGGTTGGTACGGTTGATGGTCATAATTCATAAAGCTACTAGAATGGTCACGAAGTTTAAAAACTTACCATTTATGTAGTATACGTTTATAAACAGGATGGTCAAAAACTTTATAAATTTACCATTGATTATTTAAATTTTCATTTTAACCATTTTTTTAGACTATTTTATTTTTTTATTGAATTTTACAAATAGTAAGATTGAAAATTCTTTGATTTTTTTGTTTGTAAATCTAGCATTTCTACAAAAGAGATATTGAATGTCATATTTCTAGACATTGAAAATCTTTTAAATGAATGAGTTCGATGTCTTCTAGATTTGAGAAATATTATTCTTGACTTTGTCGCCGATTACCATTGCTAATGTCAACCACCCTGTTATCGATTATCCCACATATCATTGATATTAACTTATGATTATAAATCTTTCTAATAACTTCGTTTCAGATTTAAAACTTGTTCATTTAAGCATCAAAATTTACATTTAGAGGGGGGAGGAGTTGGAAGATGGTTTGTCCATTTTGGAGGAGGCCACCAACATCACCAATCGGACGGCGAGACCCTCATCGCTATTAAGGAGTTTCAAGTTTGCAAGGTGGGACAGTAGGCCTTGTAGCTTTGTGTTGAAAAATTACAAGTTTGGTGTTATTTGAGTTAGAATTTTGAGCGGGCCATGTCTTGGAGTCTTGTGTTGAAAAATGATGAGCTGGGTCCAATTCGTATTAATTCTCTGAAAGATTACAAATTCGCACTTCATATCAATCCACGCTACGATTCAAGTTACAAGGAGTAAAAAGAACGAACTTCATCTCATAGGGCCCCATTATCATTTTAGACGATGATGACATCAAATGGATACTTATAGTGCTTCGTTTATAAAATTAATGACTCTTATCCCTTAACCTTTATCCTCCACGATAACC